GGAAACTGCTGGAGCAACAACCCTGAGCGACCTCAATAACTTTCAATTTCAAGAGGGAAAGAGGGAGCTGGAAAAGTACAGGCGTTGTGATTTGGCAGAGGTTCGGAAAGAGGCGCCTAAGGGGTCCCGAGTCTGCAGCAGAGCATCTCTGGACACAGCGAGCAAGGCGGGAGAGCACGAGTTCGGGAGAGTGGGGGAAGCGCTACCGGCGGAGAAGAGTCCCTCAGAAGGGCCGCTCTTGCCCGGAGAGGTGGGCGAGCTCCAGCTGGAGACTGGAGGCCGAAGGTCCGGCGGCGCGAGACCCCCGGCGCCCCCAACCCCCAACTCCCACTCTGGAGGCCACTGGTCTCGGCAGAGTCTAGCTGGGCGTACCCGGCTCCCGGCGGTGCGCCCCTGTGTTCCCACCTCCCGAGCTCGCGCGCAACTGCTGACCCAGGGCGCCTCGCCCCTCTTCTTGGCAGATCGCTGATGGATTTCTGGCCGCGTACTTCTTTCCAGTTTCTTGAACCCTTACTTTCTTGCTTTTCTCCCGCTCTTCCAATAAAAGTAGCAGCAGTTGGGCATCGGGTTGGTAGTGCTGAGGAAGTTCAGTGGACACTGGCGGTCAGCTCTGCCGAGAGTTACTTGCCCGAGGTGGGGGTGGGGGGGAGTCAGCGGGGGTGGAGCGAGGGGCGAAGGGCAGAGGTGTTTGAGCTTAAGGTCATTCTTTTTGGAGCTTCGATTGTGCAGCTCTGGAAGATTCCTCCTCCCTTCCAGCAGTTCAACTTGCCCTAACTCGGAGCTCTCTTACCCTCTGCTTCCCAATCTCCTGGAGAGGATTTGCCTTATAATTTGGCTGCTTATCTGGGGGACTAGCGGTGATACTCCGTAAGATTTTTCTCCTTCTTGGGGAGGAGAAGACGGTCCATTACTAGCTTCTGTTCCTAGCGCAAGTGGGGGCCCAAAGGCAGAAGAAAATAAGGTTCACAGGTCCACCTAGGGGTGGCAGAACCGAGGGCCAGCACTTCTGAGAGGTGTATACCTGGCTCTTACTAGTCAATGGCCAGTAGCACAAGTGGATGATCTCCCAGTAGTTAATGAAGTTGAAAGTGACAAGACGCCCAAAGTGATTTTAATATAAACCTGTTGTATAAGCATGTAAATCTGCATGTTGTATTTAACAGAGTGTCTGGAGGACACTTCTGTAACACTGCCGTTTTCCACGGCTCCAAACTTCTGAGAAGTCACTTTGAAAAAGTCTCTGATTCATAGATGCCTTGCTAATTCTTATCCACAAATAATTCTGATTTAAAAAAAGATTTTTGTACTTTTCCCTCCTTTTTCCATATAATCCCTGTTACTGGATTGCCTTCAATTTGTATGTTGATAAGCGGGGAGGGGAGATAGGGTTATCACCTATCCACTCCATTTTGCAAGCTTTGCAGTGCTTCAAATTGTTGAATTTCCCTGAATGCTTCAATGTTGTGGTTATGCATCACAAAAAAAAAAAAAAAAAAAAAAAAAAAGCAGATGAAGATGAAATGCCCTGCATGCAGACGAAGGCAAATAAAAAGTGCACTATTGTCAAAGTGCTAAAAAGCAGAATCTGACAATAGCCTTTCAATCTAATTCCTTCATACGGTATTATTTATAACCTTGCAAATCTGTATTAGATCTTTGAAGGTAGGGAAATATTGTTGGGTTTGATAGTGGGGAAGATTATTATTTTGGCTTATTTTTAAGAATTCCCATTTGCAACATTCCTCTTTCTGTGATAGACTTCTCTTTTTTGTACATCACACACATACTCCTCTTTTATCTGTTACCTAATGTCCACTTGCAAAAGACTGAGTTTATCATGTTGAACCAAAAAAGTTACAGATAGCAGAACAATTCCAATAATGATTATCCAAAAAAGAAGCTACTCTATTTTTCTGTGCCTGTCCTGCCAGCTTTGCTTGCCTTCTTACTTAATGCCTCAGATCCTGAATATCTGCACCATAAAATGTGGGGGATTTAAAGGCTGTGGGAGGCTCCCTTTGAAAAGGACTCCAGAAACAGGGCCTTTCTAATCCAGGATACTTGAGCCGGATGGGATGAGATTGCAAAAGGGATGTAAAAAAGCAATTTGGTGAACAACTTCAGGGAAATGAACATGAAGAAAGACATTTACTTTTCACTGGGTTGTGCAGACATATGTTAGTTTGGATGAGAGCAGGAATGGCAGTGTAAATAAATAAACAAACAGTGAGAAGCTGCAGTTCTTGAGCCATCCCAGAAGAGAAGTACTAGATGCAGTGGGCAGGAAAAGCTTGTCAAGGAATAAGCAGTTTTGAGGAAACATAAGGAAAACATTAAATAAACGGCGAGTGTATTCTTTCTCTCTTGACGTTAGGTTTTAGAATAACTTTTTCCTGATCCATGTTTCTGAACTATTAAATGCCTATTTACTTGACTAGCGGAGTCTTACATTCCCTCACTTGTCCTAGAAGCTTATGGGAAGCTTGCCTTGGCTTATTCTGCGCAACATAAGTACCTTTATGATTAGTATTTTAATCAAGAAAATAATACTTACAGAAGCTTGTAATTGCCAGTGGATTCTAAGGCCCAAACCTAAAAGCACAATAAAAACCGTAGGCTCATGATAGAAGTCAACATTTGTTTGTTATTGTTCTCCAGAAAATACTCAAGTCCCAGGAAGTTTAAGGAAGTTGAACCAGGAGAATAGAATAGTGTTTGGACAAAGACAGGGGATTAAATCCATGCAGACTAGTTACTACAATGTCTCAGCTCTCCTTTATTACTCTCCTCTCCCTCCCCACCAGGCAGTGTGACAACAGTAACAAGTTATTTTTGTCCTTTGTAGCAGTGGCACTTTAAGGGAAGAAAATGATTGTCATATTGTTGAATCCATACTGCAACTATGTGAAAGGGGGTGTGCTCCAGAAAGAGAGAGCAAGCCCAATAGTTTGGAATGGGATAGAACTAGTAGTGATGAGAGATATTTGGCAAAGTTGGGGCTGACATCAGTCATTATACCACACAGCTAACATGCAGATCCTGAAAATGCTCAACTCTTCAGTTACTCAGATCTGGAGACATCTGAGTGAGTAAGTCAAACAGGGTACTGCTGGCCAGGCCTGTGTAACTGGCACGGTTCGAAGTATAGAGCAGACAGCAGTATCTAAAAGCCATTGAAATAAGTGCATGAAGGACAACTCCTATTTTTAGAGAGAGAAATAAAGGAGACAGAATTATCATAGCAATTTTTAAAATGATTAGATGTTTATATATCATTAGGAAAATGAGAAAATCAAGGCCCATGATGGATTACTTTCTGTCAACAAGAAAGAATGTTCTTCCTTCCAGATGAAGTTATGGGAGACTTATAAAATTGTGGTGAGCACTGTCTGCTATGACTATTTTTAAAAAGTTCTTTCTTTCCCAAATCATTTAATTGCTGGGCTCATTTACAAAGTGAATATCCAGCCATACTTAAGATAGAACATTTAATAGCTCAGAAAATTTTGCTTGATTATGGAATTTACAAAGGAGAAGGGTGATAGACTAGCAATCTGGAGATGAAGGTAAATCCTTATTCTGCATCTGTTTTTGTATTCCAGGTTTTTTCATCTGAAATATGAGGGAATTCTACCAAATAAGCTCGAGAGTTCTTTTCAGCTATGAAAGAAATGAAAATATCTCCAATAAAGAAAGACAGACTTGTAATTGTAAATGTCAAAGCTATTTCTAGTTATGTGACATCACAGCTTTCATTTACAGAATTGTGTTTAATTGAATAGGTCCAGATTTAGAAATCTGCTTTCAAACTCGTTGATTTTCTGGAAATGCCTAACCCATTACAAGAATCCTAGATGACTCTGTTCTAGTAAAATAAGTCCAGGAAGAGTGTGATTTTTCTAGATGTTTATAGACTTTGGGCCAAGGAAAAACAGATTTTAAACTTCATATTCTGGGCAGACTCCGAGAGACAGAGGGAAAGAGTCTTGTGCACCTCATAGAGGTAACACACAGCCTTCAATTTGTTGTTTGGAATCACAGGTAAAGGAAGGAACATGGATTTGGTAGAGCGAGACTTTCCTTTCCGTATCATGTGACTCTTTACATTTTCCTATTCACATTTTTGGATGATGATTTATATTGTATCCATCTCTCTTTTGTCCCAGGAAACTCTGTCGATGTTGGCAATGAAGCATCAGTGACTGTGGTTCCTACCAAAGCTGTAAAAACACTGTAAGGTGTAGTGTACAAGATTAAATGAAGGATAATTATAATGAGTCGTTTTTTTGCCTGTTACCTCAAAATGCATTATTTCACAGATGATTTAGCAGAAGACAGAAAGGCAAAGTCACTTGCTTAAACTTATAGAGAAAGAATTCTGATTATTTTGCATTACCTCCATCATTTATTTTTCCTGCCCTCCTTGCCCCTAGGACATTGACTTCTATGAACTAGTTCTCAGAGCTTTCTTTTTTTGGTTTCTGGTTGGGTTCAGTCAATGAGAGCACAGCAGGAGATCTGAGCAGATTCCTCCCTCCCTGCACTGATATCTTTCTGGAAGTGATTTTGGGGGTTAGGGGGAAGAGACTCTAGTTCTGTCAAGCAGCCCCATTTCTGTGACTCT